GACCTCTTCCCAAGTGTCCAGGGAAGGGTCACAAGTTCAGGTTCTGCATGAGAGCCCTGAGTAAGGCCGGCTCCCCTCCTCTTCCTGGGTCGTCCCCAGGGCTGGGCTCCTGGGAGGGGCTGAGGCGTCCGGGGGCGGGGGCTGGGCAGGTGGGGCCAGGAGCCAGTGGAGAAGGGCGGATCAGAGGGGCCAGGGTGGCACCCGGGGTTCTGAGATGACTGCACGGCAGGGAGTAGCAGTTGGGGGCGTCCTGTGAGTCTGAGTCTGGAGGCAGCTACAGTCGCGTGGAGACAGGGATAAAAGGGGGTATGGCCTCGGTGCACACGGCCTGTGGCAGGTCTGAGTCAAAACACCTAAGGCCGACCCCGGCCGGTCATGTGGAGGGTGCCCAGTCATCGCCTTATGCTGGCCTGGGTCAGTCAGGCTGGGTGCGGCCAGGCAGCTGTGACTCAGGCCCCAGCGGCCCTGCCACGCGGCACAGGCTGGGGGCACGGGGCACTGGGACGCCCCCCACCCCACCTTGACCGTAAAGCCCCCTCAGCTCACCTGAGAGCCCTTGCTCCAGGTGAGTAGGGCCCAGGGGGGCTGACACCCAGGGTTTATGTACCTGCTGTTCCCCTGGTCTTTTAGCTGGGGGCAGGGTGTCAGTGGGGGGCCCTTTGGGTCACCCAGCTCCCAACGGGAAGTCAGGTGGGGGGGGCGGGGTGAGGAGCTGTCTCCAGAGAAGACGTGGCAGGAGAGAGGGAAGCAGAAAGGGCCTGGACCTGAAGACGATGGTGTTCCACTGATTGACACCAACGCCGCCTCCCCACCCCCCTGCAAAGGCTCCAGAGGGTCCCATGCCTCGTAGCCCACGGTAAGTCTCCTGGTTGGTGTGGGAGAGGGGAGGTGGCACCCCCTGGACTTGTCCTCAGTGTGGCAAACACTAGCACCCTCCTATGTCTGGCTGGGGCAGGAGTGGCCCTGGGAATGGGGGTGCCCCACAAGGGTCCCCAGGCTGATGGGTCCCTATCCGACTGAGGAGGGTCAGTATATCTCACAAGGCTGTTGATATAAATCAGGAAAGAGTGACGTGACTGTAAAAGAGTTGAGTCAAAGATCATAGCAAAAGGTTAAAGGGCACAGGATGGGAGAACCTAGAAAGAGACCTGGATAAGGATCTTGACAGGAGCCAGGAGAGATCAACCCTCTGGGAGTCTTGATTCTTGAGGGCTGGAAACTCCTTTTCCCCTCACAGTACAGAGGGGTTGGCTTTGATTTTCCTCAGACAGGGTGAAATAAGGGAGTGTCCCAAGGGAGGTGGGGGGTTATGGGGGTTATGGGGTGGCCCCCTATCAGCCTCTCCTTTGGAGAGAAGAGTGAGAGTATTGGCTGACTGCTCCTAGGTCAAAGTCATGGCCCCTAAAATTTTCACCTTGAGCCAAGTGCAAGGCCCGACCATTCTGAAATAGGGCTTGCAGGCTACTGCAGGGGCCAGGCATACACAGTTGAAGGAGAGACTCAGCCAAAAATAGCCTTTAGCGCCTCTTGAGAAGTTGGGAGAGGTTTGGGGGGCTTCACTAGGGTCACCACACATGCTGATGGTGGGCAAGAGTTTATTGCTTCTCCAGCTTCTTCTCGGGTAACTAGGCAGTTTATTTCACCTCTCTGGGCCTCAGTTTGTCCATCTATAATGTGGGGATGGTAATCATTATCAAGAATGATTCTTGTTAATGGCACTCCAGGGAGGTGGAGAGGTCTCTGGGGATCTGAGCTGGATGAGAAGGGGTGGGAGAGGGAAAATATACCCTTCATCGTGCTTGGAAAGATGGAGAGTCAGTGAAAGAGAGGAAGACCCCCAATGAGATGAATTGACACAGTGACTGCAGCAATGGGATCCTGTACGTCAGAGATTGTGAGTACGGCACGGGATAGGACAGGGGTTCAGGTCTGTTGTTCATAGGGTCGCTATGAATTGAAATAGACTGGATGGTACCTGGGAATAACTTCTCCAGAGGCAGGTCCCATGTGGACAAGGGCAAGCCTCTCCCTGCCCTGAACACATGGTCCTAGTGCCCTCTTGTGGCTGGTGCTCAGGGCAGGACAATGTGTCTTCCAGGACCCCTTCTGAGGGGCCCCCTGCTCAGCCAGGCCAGTGTCTCTGCCCAGCCCCCACTTACAACCTCAGCTATCCCATAAACTTCCTCAAATTCCAACTGTCACCAGCCTGGCCCGGTGGGAGGCACTAGCCAAGAAGGACTGGCAGGCTGTGGCCACGGTGCCAGGCGCCTAGCAGACAGTGGAGGGCGCTGCTGCCCGTGGGTTGGAGCTGGGCTGGGTGTGGAGGAGGTAAACCTGCGCCCCGCTTCCCAGGGCCCGGCGGGCTGGCCCTGCCCACAGGCCACACCTCCCAGAGCCTGAAGGACTTCTCTAGGTCCCATGTGGCAGCCAGGACAACTGATTTTCTGAGAAGCTACTTTCTGAGTCAAGACTGAAACCCTCGCTGGGTGTCCTATGTTTTTATTGTTAGGTGCCATCAAGTCAATTTCAATTTATAGTGATCCTATCGAAAAACTATTGATCCGAGTCTATCCTGCACTATTCTCATCTTCTCTGATAAACTCGAGCCCATTGTTACAGTCACTGTGTCAGTCCATCGTGTGTGTGTGTGTGTGTGTGTGTGTGTGTGTGTGTTGTCTTCTTCTCTTTCTCTGACCTTCCACTTTTCCCAGAATGGTGTCTTTCCCCAAAGACTAGCCTCTCTGGACAACATGCTTAAGATATAGAGGCACCAAAAAATGCATGCTACTGGGGTTGTGCTAGTCATTTGTGCTGTGTGGTCTTGGAAAAGTGATTCTCCCTCTCTGGGTCCCATCTGTGAACACTTAACAGCTAGTGGAATGATCTCAGCATCAATGGTACATCTATAGGGCTTCCAGGGCTTCCCACAGAGTGCCAGCAACCTCACAGCTTTACAGCACACCTTCATTCTAGAGAAGTTGTGACTGAGGCCTGAGCAAGGAAACCACCTGCTGAGGTCGCAGCTTATACGTGGCAGAGCTTGAACTGGACCCAGGTCTGGCTGATTCTAGCCACCCCAAACCCCACAGCATCACCTGGTCCAAACTTTGTTCCTTTACAAGTAGGGGTAACTGAGGCCGACTGCAGCCATGAAGGTCCTCAAATATCCCCTTAGGCTCAGCCCTCTTGGGAGAGCTGGTGGATGGCCCCCCTTTGTGAGGCTTCTCTGCAGCCAGCCAGCTGGCCAGAGTGGACGTGGAAAGGGGGGAGCTCAGCGGGTGGAGACACTGAAGAGACTGACTGGCTCTCTGTGCAGGCCAGTGTGACGCTGGGGCCAGGCACAGTCCCACCCGGAAAGGGAGGAAGCGGAAACAGGGTCCAGGGGTGGGGCGGGGATGGGGCCGGCTTGGCAGGCGATCACAGTAGGATTGTGTCATGGACTCTCCCAGCTGATAAGCAGCTGGCCAGCCTGGCTCAGGCAGAAGGAAGGGGTCCCCAGGAAAAGACTCTTCTTTGGGGACCCCTACAGGTTCCCTGCTGTTGCTGGGAAGCCTTCTTGTGGCTGCCTGGAGCAGGCCAGGGCCTCCAGGCTCCTGTTTCAAGGGGGCTGTGGGGAGGAACTAGTCCTCTCACTCATTCTGTGTCCTCAAATCATCCATCTTTCTGAGCCTCCGTTTCTCCACGCTTCCCTCAGAGAATGGGATGAGGACTGAAGAGTGTGGATGTTCTTGTTGTAGAACACGTCGGGCTGCTCACCAAGAGGTTGGCAGTTCGAACCCATAAGCTGCTCCATGGGAGAAAAATGACCAATCTCTTTTCCGACATGCAGCTGTGGAACCCCCATGGAGGGGGGACATGAGTTGAATCTGATTGCGTACGGGTTTGTGGAGGGTCAGGAAGGCCCTCAGGTCTTGGAGGGCTCCAGGAATCATCATTCCTGAGTTGCCTGGCCCCCTCTATTCCCATGACTCCCTTGAGTTGCTCCATCTACCTGGCCTGGTGCTTGAACTCACAACCCCCGGTGCCTGCTCCTGCTGCTCATCTCTCTTTCTGTGCCAGGGCAGAGCATAAGCCAACCCCAACCAAGCCTTGTCCCCTCTGGCCTCCCCACCATGGGACTTGACTCTTCTGCTCTTTCCACCCCCTTCCCATTCTCCATCCCCACTGGGCATGAGGGACAGCCCATTGAGGGGGCCTGGCTGTGATCCCCAGCACCATCGGCAGGAATGGGGTGGCCCGAACGAGCTTGCGTGGGGGAGGCCCCAGTTTCAGGCTGAGCGAGTCCGCTCCGCTTCCTGTTCTGTTCATTGCCTCGGAGTTCAGGAAATCATTGAGTGAAACATCCTCGCCGCCCCCTGTTCCCCACGGCTCCCCGTGGCCCCCCCTCAGCCCTGCACTGGTTTAATAGGAGCCGAGCTGTGGGCTCTCTCTTTTGGAAAATCCAGTGGGAGAAGGAAGCTGTCAGCTCAGCTCTGACATCAGCTTTGTCCCTGTGCCAAGAGTCAGGGTGGCCAGGGTGGGAGGAGGGGGGTGGGGAGGAAACCAGCTGCTGGTGGCCTGTGACGTGAGGCTGCCCCACGGTTCCCAGGGGCGGGGCTGGAGGGTGAGGAGGAGGTTTGTGGGACTCCCAGGTGGGGCCACATGCTTCCCTACACATGGAGGGTGACATGGCTTTGGTTACCCCTACTGCTGTCCAGAACCCCTTTGGAGTGAGTGGACGCAGTCAGACACACAAGGAGTTGTGGTATGCTGGAGATCTCTCCCAATCTCAGAACACATCATACAGGCCTAGTCTCTCTCTCACACACACCCCGCCAAACACACTGATGGGCACAGGATCACACATGGGTGCGTAACACACGCACAGACAAACCAACCGCACCCAGACCCACTCATACCCCCAGGCCCACAAGGAGCCGCAGGGCGCTCCCAGACACAGGCTGCCCCGGGGGTGGGGTGGGGGTTCTTAGGCCACTTCTGACTCCCACTCCCTGGGCGAGGATGAAGAGCCCCTGGGCAGACAGAGGAAAGGCTGTGCCTGGCCAGCCCCGCCCATTGGTACCCGGGGCTCTGAGGCCGTGGAAGGGAGTGGGCAGTGGGAGGCCAGGTTGAGAGGCTCCACCACCCGGAACCTGCACCCTCCTGAGCACCTGGCCTGCCCCACCGTGGAGGGCGTGTGACCCGGGGCAGGTCTCTCCCGCAGCCCCTGCGGGCTGCTTTCATCATCGATACTAGTTGCTTACCCACGCTCTGACCACGATCCACAGGGAGAAACACGTGGCACCTAGCAACCGGGCCACTTAAAGAAGGCCTTCATGGGCCTGGGTACCCAGCCGAGTTTCTGGTTTTGTTTCTCTTCCTGTAGTGCCAAGCGCTGGCCCTTAAAATGCAACTGATAACCCTGCAAGAGTTGCAAGTTCTGATTTGGAGTCAGAAAACATGGACTTAGACGTCTGTCTGCAGTGGTCTCGGGCCAAGTAGAGATGCTAGGAAAACCTGGAAGAGGCCAAATGCTTTACACTCGCTAAGGGTGGATAAGACGACCACAGCCCATTCTACAGATGGAAAAACTAAGGGCAGGGTCTGAGTGAACCCAGGCCCTGTGCAACGCTGCCGGGCCTCAGAGCTCCAGCTGTTGTTTTCCTTGTCATTTTTATCAAGGGAATCCTGAAGTCTTTCTGATAACCTCCAGCCTTGACTCCTGGTGTAGAGCCAGGAAATGCCACGGTGATGCCGGGGCCAGTTGGCGGAAGGGCAGGGCTCCTTCTTGGCCCCATGGGTAAAGCGGTCCATGCCAGAGGACAGGAAGAGGCAGATGTAAAACCTAGAGGTGACCCTCAAAGGGTCTAGGAGACAGCTGGGCTGGCCAGGGCCTGAGGTCCTAAGAGACCATTGGGACCTGTGGTCACACTTCATATTCCGGGGCCCCAGGAGCTGTCCTAGCACTAACTCCAGGGCCACAGGGATGCACTGGCCACTGCATCCAAGCCTCTGAGTTGGGCTGAGGTCCAAACCCCTTGTGTGACCACATCAAACCCTGGTGTTCGTGTCGGACACTTCCCCTGTGCGTCTTACCTAATGTTACCATGACAGCCAGAGGGGAAATCTTCAGAGGGGAAATCGAGGCACAGAGAGAGGAAATCAGCTGCCCCCGTTGCATAGCTGCTAAGTGGAGTGAAAAAGGACTTGAACTGAGGTTTGCCTGACCCTGGCCTCACTGCTAGGTGAGCTGGCTTGGGGACGGGGAGGCCTGCAAGCATGCGGAGGGCCAGGGGAGGGGGATGCCATAGTTTCCCTCTCAGTCCTCAAGTGCGAAATTGTTGTTGAACCAGCAGGTTCTCAGAGGCAGTAAACTGCATGGGAGGAGATTGCCCATCCTTTTCCTGCAGAGAAGTGGGTAGATTTGAAATGCAAGTGCTAAATAGTGAGGGGATTTTTGCATTTTTTTTAGGAGCCCTGGTGGTCCAGTGTGCGGTTGCTAACTCAAAGGTCGGTGGTTCAAACCCACCAGTCACTGGGTGGTAGAGAGATGTGGCAGCTAGCTTCCAGTAAAGGCTCTGTGACTTTGGAAACCCAGCGGGACTGTTTTCCCCTCCTGCAGAGCTGCTATGACTTGGAATTTACTTGATGGCATTGGGTTGGTGCTGGTGGTACCAGTGCCATGCCCAGGAATGTCTGAGCTCAGTGCCCACCTTGCTACTCCCTCACGCTGGTTCTGGGCCACACCAGCCCTCCGGCTTCCTCCTCCTGGCCCATAAGCCTCACATATGTTCACTTCCCAGGTAGGACCATCAAGGCAAGGGGCTGGACAGAGACCACTAGCCCAGAGAGAGACTGCTGGCTGGCTTTTCAGAGAACTGAGCTCTGAGGGCGGGGGAGGGAGCCGGCCCGGGCAGTGGCGGGTGCCCAGGGCCTGCTCACTTTCTGGGTCACCGGTCCTGGGGAATTCCCCGGGTGCCCAAAGAGCTGCTTACCTGGTGAGTAACTGCCGGCTGTCCACACAGGATGCCAGGCTGTGAGGGGACCTCCCGCCACCCCCTGTCCACGCCACACTGCCCTCTCTCCAGCCTGCCTGAGGCCAGGAAAGAGACAGGCAGACAGGCAAGGGGCTGGCTCCCACCCCCACACCCCCCAGGGTCTCCACAGGGGGGCGGCTGGTGATTCAAAGCCCCTCTGAGCTGAGCTGTGGCTCCTTCCTTCTCGGATGGGGCCTGGGGGTGAATCAGTTCCTGGGGGCGGCAGGCCCGGTCAGCTGCTGGCCTCACTTTAGCCTGGGGGTGAGGTGGCTGGGGACCATGATAGCATGGGGAAATCACAAACATCCCCCATGTCTAATCTTTCTGGGTGCCCCTGAGGCAAGGGGGTTGTAAAGGATCTGTCTCCATGACCTGTCCTGCCTGACTTCCCCACCCAGTCCTGGAAGAGCACCAGGGGAGCAGTCAAAGAGAGGAAGTTTCCCCATCTGTAAAATGGGCACAAACACCCCTCCTGATCAGAAAGTTCACAGAGAGAGGGCTGGGTGCCCAGATGTTGCTGAGCCCTGAGAGCACACCCAGTAAACTTGTTTGCGTTGAGTCAAAACTAACTCATAGCTGACCATCTGAAGGGGTTTTGGAGGCTATAAATCACAAAGGAGGTGACTGCCTATCTTTCTTCACTGGAGCGGCTAGTGGATTCGAACCGTATATTTTTGTGTTGACACAGCAACTTCTTACTCACTAGGGCTGCCAGACCATGAGGCCACCAGAACTCCTTCTAATCCAGGACACAGGAATTGTAATTACCATTTTACAGATGAGGAAACTGAGGCCAGGCTGCGGTCACTTCCTCAAAGCCTCCTCACTGTAACTGGAGGCTGCAAACCTCAGCTGTAACTTTGACGGAGGCTGAAGTTCACTCCCTAGACTGTCAGATCACAGTGCCTCCTCTCCACCAGGAGTTGTTAAAGTGCTTTTAAAATAGCAGCTACACTAGGTGAGTCTGGCTGTGTCCAGAGTCAATGAGTACCAGACCCTCGTCTTTGCCCTGGAGAAGTGAGGGACTGGGTTATTCCTGGGGGACCGAGAGCAGGCCTGATGAGGCTGCTCCTGGCCTGTCACAGCTGGAGGAGCCTGGGTAGGCTTCTTGGAAGAAGGAGGCCCTGATTCTCCTAGGGAGTCTGCAGGTCTGGGTTCCAGACCCTGCTCTGCTCTTAGCTGTGTGTCCCTGGGCAAGTCCCTTTGCCTCTCTGAACTTCTGTCTCTCTACCACTTAGAAAACAAACAACACCTGGGATGAGTGGGTAGGGAAATAATTTGAGGAGAGATTTACTGATGGTTGAATGAGAATCAGATGGACGAGGTGGCCCAGTGAGGCAAGGTGTGTATGAGGGAGCATGTGATCGTTTCCTGGAGGGGGGAGACAAGCCCCTGGGTGGTATAAGTCACCTGGCGGTTTCATCACTGGGCATCCTCCCCAGGCTCAGGGGCTGCCTCTCCCCTCCCAAGGCAGGTCTCATCCCCACCAGGCCTTGTCTGCAGAAGCTGGATGGGCCCGGGGATGAAGTCACAGCTGGAAGGGGCCTATCTGGGGCTGCCACTCCAGGGTGGGGCCTGGGGTCACGACCCCAGAGCAAGACGCCAAGAAGGGAGGATGCCTTCCATGAGGGAGCCGGGGAAACACACACAGCAGCGTGCAGGGAGGGGACGAAAACAAACTCCAGGAGACCGAGCAGGCTTGGAGCTCGGCCTGGGCAGCCGTTCCCAGGGGCCGAAGCCACGTTGCAGGCGGCTCCTGGACCCGCAGCTTCGAGCCCCTGTTCTGCTGTCCCCCAGAGGCCCAGCTCAGGGGGCTGCTGGCCATGACAGGACAGGAGGCTGAGCCCAGGGCACCGAGGGGGCCGGAACACTTGGGGAGCATGGACCACATCAGGTACGGTGATGGGGAAACCTAGGCCCTCGGTGGGGCTGGTCTGGGGCAGGTTAAGTGACCCTAGCTCAGTCCTCTAGCCCCGGTCCCCCACTTCCTGTTTATTGTGGGTGGGGCTTAGGTGAAGTGGCCACTGGAGGGAGGAGCTGGTGAGGGGTCTGAGAGCAGCAGGCAGAGCCAGGCCTGTGGTTCGTTAGGATGGAAGTTGTTGGGGGGAGACTGGAGCAAGGAATGGTGGCATAGGGAGGGCTCTCCTGGGGGTCAGAGGCCCTGAGGCAAGACTTGGTGGGAGATGAGAGATGACAGATAGGGCCACATCAGAAGTGGGACTGGAGGCAGAGAATGAATTCTGTGCTTCAAATAGTCAGGTAGTTGTGTAGAGAGGCTAAGGGAGGTGTGTGGGTATCTGAAAGTGGGGGAGGAGGGGCAGAAAACTGGGGTGTCCTGGGTATGGGATTTCCTGGGCCAGGCCTCGGCTGGCAGGAGGAAAGCTAAGCCTTGAGGGGTGCTTCTTGAGGGTGTACCCCATCCCTATGCAGGTGTGTGGGAGGGGCTGGTGCCAGGTAGGCCTCTCATGGCCCCCTAAAGGGAGGATAAGGTGGGGGCAGGAGGAGGAAGGAAGAGGAGGGTGCTGGGAGGTGCCAGCTGGGATGGGCAGTTTTATCAACCCCCATAGAGGCCCTGCTGTGTGGGGAGTGGGACAGGGCCCGCAGTGTGTGTTAGCACACATGCGCAAGTGTGTATATGCCTTCCTCTGTGTGTGTTTGTATATGTGTGTGGGGAGATGGCAGCATGACAACTCTGGTGTGGCTGGGGAGGAACATGTTACCGAGCAGGTCTGGGATGTGCTGAGGTTAGGGACGGCCCTCCCTCCCTGGCTGGCTCCCTGGGGAATGAGCTACCCCTTGGGGCAGGGGTACCTCTGGCATTTTGGGGGAAACTGTGACCCCTGGAGTGTGTTATCTGCCCTGCCCCAAACCTTGAATATTATTGTCATCATTTGATTGGGAAGGAGGTCCCTGAATGGTGCTGTGAGGGATGGTGCAGCATGGCGGAAGAAAGGTTTGGTGATTGCTCCCATGCAATGACAGCCACAAAGCTCTCACAGAGCTCAGGCTCCTCTGTAACGCAAAGGTTCATGGGAGCAGAGTCAGCATCAACTCAAGCACAGTGCGTCTGGGTTCAGCTGGGGAGGAATCAGGGCTGATGTGACTGTCCCCCCATCACTCCTCCCACCCATTTCCAAGTTGAGGTATGATCCTATTAAAGAGGCTCTAGAAGTACCTTGGGGGGGCACTGTCATTCACTGAGGCTGAGCCCCAAGGGAGCTTCACAGGCACATCTGGGGAGGGACACCACCCCTCATTCTTCCTCAGCATCCTTGACTATGCCCTCTGCTCAGGTGTCCCTTTCAAAATGGAGATGTTGACCCACCTTCCACAGGAAGGGGAGACTGGGGTTGCAAAGAACCTTCCAAGAAATCCTCCCCCGGCTGTCCCCAAAGGACTGAGTCACAAGAGCCCCCCCCTTCCCATCCTCCTTCCTGTCCTCAGTCAGACAGGTAAGGGGGTCAGCAGAACAGGTAGGCTGGTGGCGATCAGGGGCTTGACCCGTGCAGGACCTGGGGCACTTACTCCTTTGGAAGCCCACTCTGCCCTGTGGAAATGGGCAGGTTGGAGGAGGCCACCTCTGGGGTAGCACCCATGTTCATTTCCGCTTTATTACCGTCTAAAGTCCAAACCCTGGCTCCAGCCCCTTTTCCAGGAGCCTTTTCAGCCCAGACCCAGCCTGTCTCCTCCCCACTGCCCCCCAAAGGTCCCTGCCCAGGAGCCTCAGGTGCCAGCTCCTCCGTTTGCCCAGGTGAGTCAGGGCCATCTGGGGTGCCTGATGCCCATCCCCAGGGACCTCGCTGAACAAGCCCAGGCCCCCACCCCGCCCTCCCCATCTTATGCAGCTGGGAGGAGGGCAAGCCACTCAGGAAAACCGCAGGGCGTTCAGTCGAAGACTTCATTATAATTTTATCAATTAAATTCTCAGAAGAGGGAAAAAAAAGTCTGCCCTCCCCACTCTCCCCCCTCACTCTGCCCTCCCGTCACTCTTACTTTTTCTTCCATTCATAATTTCCTATGATGCACCTCACACACTTCCTGGATGGGGATCCCGGCTAAATATAGCTGTTTCTCTGTCTTACAACACAGGCTCCGGTATATAAATCAGGCAAATTCCCCGTTTGAGCATGAACCTGTGAAAAGTGCCGGCATCTAAGGTCTCCTCCAAGGCCCTCTGCAGTCCAGCCCATAATGAAGGTCCTGGCGGCAGGTAACTTCACTCGCCAGCTCCCGGGCTTGCGCGCCCCGCTAAACTCGGGGCCCCCACCCACCGCAGACACACAGCACTCGGGGCCCTGCCCCGCGCCGGGGAAGGCGCTGCTCCAGGCGGCCCGGTGGAGGCGCTGCGTGGCGGCGGGCGGCGCGCACCACATGGTCCGGGCACCGCGCGCCCAGCTACCCGGCCGGCAGGTTGGCCAGAGGGTGGAAGCTGCCCCAGCCTTCCTCCTGCTCCAGCTCTTCCTCCTCGCTCCACCGCTGTCCCCAGCTGCGCGCTCTCTGCTCTCTATCTGATTCACCCTCCCTCTTTCTGTCTTTCTTTTCCACTTTCTCTTTTCCAACGGCGGCGTCCCGGGGCTGCTCCCTGGGAGGGGCTCAGGCCGCCAAGCAGCTTGCAAACTCCGGCCCGGGACAGGAGCAGGTGCCGCCTCCATCTGTTAGTGCCTGGAAAACGTGTGGTCTGTGCTAGGTGAGATGGGCTGGTGGGACCCCGGGGCACCAGTGGGGCCTTGGCACTGTCTGGGGATGCTGGGACGAACGCGGGACTCAAAGAAAAGTGTGTGTACTTGAAGTTACCACTAGCCCTCCAGTTCCAGCAGGGGGATCCAGGCAGAAGGCTCCTGCTTCACTGGCTGCCCCCGGCCCCTGCTGCTCTCTCTGGCCAGCTGGAAAGGGGCCTGAAGGGAAGGGGGGGGGGGAGGACGTCCCCGGGGGTGGAGCGACCAGGACTGGCCCGGACAGCTCCCGGCTCCTGTCACCTTTCACTTTCCTTCCTCCCCGCCCACCCTTTTTGCTTATGACCTTTTCTCTTTCCTCGTTGCCCAGTTTGCTCTCCTTCCTAAGGCCTCTGGAGAGGAGGAATGGGGAGGTGTGGGATCCTTGGACGTCCCTCTGATAAGGGCAGAGGTTGAGCAGAGCTGCAGGACAGGGTGTTGTGAATGACTATTTGAGGATCACTATTTTAGGGGATCATCATTTGGGGGATAGATTGGGAGCAGAGTTGTAGAATCAAGATGGAACTGGGTAGGGAAGTATGGAATCCTTCAGGAGAAAGTCACAGCCATTGAAAATTCTACAGGGTACAGTTATCTGCACACACGTGTCCCCATGGGTCAGAGCTGACTCAAAACCACCTGACAACAACATTGTCAAAGATAAGGAGGCTGGTCACATTTAGGGAAGGAAAGAGATGCAGGAGATAGGCAACTGGGGGACAAGTTGCCTGGCCGGGGGGGGGGGAATATTAGAATCAGGTGGGTGGTTAGGGAGGGTGAAGAGGATCAGCTAAGGACAGCCCTCTCACATGAGGACATTTGGGTCACTGCGCATGTTAGTGAGAGAAGGGGAAGAAAAGAGAGGCAGGAGACTCAGTTAAAAAGGCAGCTCTGGTGGCTATGTGGTAAGGAGTTGTACTGCCAACATGAAGGCATGCGGTTCGAATCTGCTCCGTGTGATTGATTAACTGCCCCTGAAAACCCACTGGAGGGTCAATTATGAGTCTATTCTGACTCTACAATACATAACAACAGTCCAATGGGGGGGGGCTTTAATTGTCAAGTCTGCAGGGAGCTAATCCAAAGGCCATGTCTCTCTGGCAGTTCACATCTGCTCCACAGGATGAAAGATGGGCAATTTCCTTTCATGTAATTTACAGCCTCTGAAACCAGGCTGGAGGGTAAGCTATGATAGAGATGCCTTGAACCCAATAGGAGGGGGCGTGGTGCCCTCGAGAGCTGGAGGACAAGGGGCTTTTGCCTTCTTGAAGGAAAGGATTGGATGATTGGAACCTAGATGAAGAGTCCAATTGGTGGGAACAGATTATGTCCTGTGGGGAGTTTTAAGTAGGGAGAGGAAAGCAGGGTTAGTGAGGCAGGCACAGAGGGAGGCCGAGTTAGAGCTGGAGGGGGGCATGCGGCACCTCCACTGTGACCTGAGCCTTGAGCCGCCCTCCCCACCATCCTCATCATGCCCCCTTTCTGCCGTCTCCCAGGAATCCTGTCACTGCTGCTTGTCCTGCACTGGAGACAAGGGGCAGGGAGCCCCCTTCCCATCACTCCTGACAAGGCCACCTGCACCACGCGCCACCCTTGTCCCAGCAACCTCATGAGTCAGATCAGGAATCAGCTGGTGCAGCTCAACAGCAGTGCCAACGCCCTCTTTATTCTCTATGTGAGTTACCCCTGGTCAGCCCTGGGGGTCGAGGGAGGAAGAGGTGGGCCTGAGCTGGTGGGGGTGAGCTGCACTGCCCTGGACTCGGGGCTGGCCAAGGGAGCTAGTTACGGCACACCCACTTCTTTTCTCAGCCCATCAACTCTCTTAGGGTTAGGTCGGGACAAAGCTGAGTTGAGAATAGGCAGGCCTGCTGTGGGAATTCCTCCGCCTCATGTTGAGATACACACAGGAGTGTAAAGTGTTCAGAGAGGTGCCTGTGGGCGGGACGTTGGGAGATGAGTGTCTGGGTGCAGAGGGGTGTCCAGAAAGTGCAAGTGCAAGTGCGTCTGGCATGTTGACGATGAGGCGCCTAGATTTTCTTCCTTTTTTCTTGATAATGAAAAACTGAAACAAACTAGTTATCACTGAGCTGATTCAGACTCATTGCAACCCCACGTGGGTCAGAGCAGAACTGTAATTGCACGGATTTCACAATGGCTGATTTTTTTTTTTTAAACAAATTTATCACCAGCTCTTCTAAATCTCCTCCGAGGGTGGACTCGAACTCCCAGCCCATTAGTTAGTAGCAGTTGAAGATTTGACAGCGCATGGGGCTCCTAACACTGATGAATAATAATGACACTAATTGCTTACTTGAGGCCTTAGTTCTTCTGGTGCCTTCACACCCTGATTGTCATCTGCCTCATAATGGTCCTGTGGTGTCTACAGGGCACAGAGTTAGGCCCTTAAGCCGTAGGTGGGGAAACTGAGGCTCAGGAGCTTACGCTGAGGGTAGGTAACACCCATCCCTGACTCCCTGCTCACATCCCCTCTGCCTTCTGCTCCTCAGTACACGGCCCAGGGCGAGCCGTTCCCCAGCAACCTGGACAAGCTATGTGGCCCCAACGTGACAGACTTTCCCCCCTTCCACGCTGACGGCATGGAGAAGGACAAGCTGGTGGAGCTGTACCGGATCATCGCCTACCTTGGCGCCTCCCTGGGCAACATCACGCGGGACCAGAGGATTCTCAACCCGGATGCCCAGGACCTCCACAGCCGGCTGAGCTCCACGGCGGACACCCTGAGGGGACTCCTCAGCAACGTGCTGTGTCGCCTCTGTAACAAGTACCACGTGGGCCACGTGGACGTGACCTATGGCCCCGACACCTCGGGCAAGGACGTTTTTCTGAAGAAGAAGCTGGGCTGTCATCTCCTGGGGAAGTACAAGCAAGTGATGGCGCAGCTGGCCCAGGCCTTCTAGCACAGGCTCTCGCAGTGCGCCGTGGAGCAAAGGATCCTGGGAGTGGGATCCGAAGTGGGGAAGCTGTCACTTTGTGACGGGCAGGGAGTCTTTGCGGAAAGAAATTGGAAGTTGCTGGCTGACCCTGAGGGCCCCCCCCCCTCGCCGGTCGGCTTTACTCTGGGGTGGGCTGGGATGAAGCCGCAAAGGGTCACAACTTCCACATGCAGGACCTCAATATCCTGAGCCCTTTGCAAGGTGACGGTCCTTTCTCTGGAAGGTGGTAGTCAAGCACCGAGGTGTCAGGCTAGGGAGCGGAGTATGAGCTGGACTTCTGACTAAGCTACTACTTAGGGAGAATTAGGAAGGCTTGGTTGGATGTGAGTTTCTGGGACCTCAGAGTACTCCTTACCCTAAGAGGTATGGTGTGTGGCAGGTGAAGAACCAGCTCTGGATTGAGATGCTGTCTTCTCCTGAGAATAGTAGGAAGGCTGAGTCTAACAGACTGTTGGATGGAAGGTTCTAGAAGGATGTCAGTAGTATTCAGGCTGTTTGAGAGCTTGTGAAGGCAGGAAGCCTATCTAGGCTGTCCTTTCTCTTCACTGCAGCCTGAGAGGGCAAGGGTTTGGTGCTGGAGCTGGAGGAGGGTACGTGGAGGTGGGTGGGATGCAGGCAGGTTGCAAAGTCAAGTGGGGCGATCGGAGACACCCCCAGAGTCCTCCTTCTGAGGGAGGGTAGTTCCAAGTGACAGCTCACAGCCAGGCCTGTGGAGGCCTGGGGAGATCACAGGAAGCACTTGAGGGTCCAGAGGTGGTCTCTGGTCCCTAAACAAGGGGATAGCAGAGTTTGGGGTCAGGGTCTCAGGAGAGATCGGAGAATGCTGTGTGTCTGGCCCAGCATGATTGTCTATTTATTATAATATCCTATTTATATTAACTTATTGGTGCTTTATGTGGCAAAGTCAGTTCCCCTTTCATGCTCCCTAGCCAACAGTAATAATAAGAGAACTCTTTTACGTAGGAGCCAAGGCCTGGCCTTGGACTTTGAAGATGTTACAAATTGGGGAGAGCCTAATGAGTGAAACTCGGTAAAGGGTTGGATTCAGGGCAGCCAGGGTCCAGGCCGAAGGCTCAGGCCGGTTGATGGAAGGCTGGATCCTGTGGCCAGGCCATCCTGTTGTTAACTCCAAGAGTCTTCACCCACACGGTCTTCTCTGGCGCCCCCTGCAGTTGGGCCGAATGTCTTGTTCTCATGCTGCTTCTAAAAATAGCAGTTGTGGGACCCTGGAACTGTACTAATCCAGCCCCTCTCCCCAACGATCCTCCTGCATGGGGAGGAGCTCCTTCTTAGGGGTCTCGAATACCACTGAGGACAAGGAGCCAGGTCATCAGAACCCCGGGAAGCAGGGGTAGTGTAGGGGAGCCACTGTCCCCTGCTCTGGAAAACACCATATGATATCCCTCTACTTGGACTGGGAAGCGTGGCTTCCTTCTGTCCCAGATCCCCATGTTCCCACCCAGGTTTAGACTCAAGGCAGGGAACCTGGTCCCTCCATTGAGCTGCGGACCGGGCCAGTCTGGAAACGTCCTCAGGTCTGGAGCCGAAGCACCTGCTGAAAGTGGTAGTCTGGTAGCTTCTCAAACCCTGAGCAGGTCGTGGTGGTCCTCGAAGTTCAGTCAACTAGATAGTAATATTCTGCATTCACCTGGCACCCTTCTCGCTCCTCTTAGCACTTTATCCAAGCCCACCAGCTGGTGGGCTGGCAGCAGGCAGGTCCCATGCCAGCAGTTATCCTTGTCTTGGTCACCCCCCCACCCCACCTCAGCTTGCTTCCTTTCCCATCTCTCTGCTTTGTTGGTGAACTTTTCTAAGCTGAGCGCCCAGAGAACCCACCTCATCTGAAGGCTGGGATTGGGTCTCCCGTCCTCTCCTCACTTGGTGGACACGTCTGTGCTGTGCATGTGGGCAGTCTTCCTGACACCTCGCCTCTCTCACTGCCCACACTCCCTCCACTTCTGTCCTGATTCTAATCACTTGGTCCCTGTCAACAACGCTCTTTCTAGAACAACGCCAGGCATATCCACAATCCCTCCACACAGCATGCTGAATTCATTGTATGAACCTATGTGTAAAAAGCCATTTTGTTCTTGGTTGCTTGGCATATTGGGTCGTGTGTCTGAACCAGAGATGACTTTTAAGGAGAGGGGACCCTGGCAGATGAGGGGGCGTGACAGCCATTTTGCACTCTTATAAAGGAGTTATTTATTGATGAAAATCTTTTTCCTTCTTCTAAGGAAATGAGCATTGCTCATTTGCTTGTCTTGTCTCTCTCTGCCTCTTTCTCTCCCCTCCTTTGGCCCCTGTTAGGTTGATGGGGCAACTTCGCCTTCAACATAGACATAGCATGAGGAGTTGATGCCTCAAAGTGAAGACAGGCAATGATTTCCCTTCATACGGTACAGAGGTTCTGATTTAACTGGTCTTGGGTAGACCACATGCATTAGTGTTGTTTTCAAAAATCCCTAGTTTATTGTAATGTGAAACAAGCATTGAGAGCTTCTGAATTGGGGGGGATGCTGTTAGCTGCCATTCAATGGACCCCTGACTCAAGAGGACCCCGTGTATTATAGAGCAGAACTTTTCTCTATGATTTTCTTAGCTACCAACCCAAAGGTATGCGGTTCAAATCCACCAGCTGCTCCATAGGAGAAAGATGGGCAGTCTCCTTCTGTGTGATTTACAGCCTCTGAAAACTCCGGGGAGGGTCAGCTGTGGGTTGGTTCTGACTCTATGGTACACAACAACAACAACAATCTTTTAACTGATTACCAGTCCTTTGTCTCCATGATGCTGCTGGGTGGATTCAACCAGCCAACCTTCAGGGTAGCAGCTCATGGCAGACCACTTTGCCACCCAAGTGCCTTCAAACGGTACAGATGTTCTACCTTAGAATCATCTCTGCTCCCTTCCCCCTCCTTCCGCCACCGATCGCCATGTGCGTGCTGGCTCCAGTGGGACCCACTGTGAGGCTCTGTCCTCAGATGTCCTTGTCCTCCCGTTCCACTGGAAAGACCTTCAACTTGGGTGACAAATTCCTCTTTGATGAATGTACCTGTGGGACTCTTTCATAATGACAGATGATTTTTATTTATTCGTTGTCATATTTAAGATATTTATTTTTTATACTGAAGAAATACTTTCTTGGAATTTTTTTTAAGAAAAAGAAAAAAAGAGAAATTAATAAAGAATCTGCTCTTAGCTTGCTTCCAGAGTACATTGATGTGGGCGAAGGGGCTGGGATGGGTGCTGAGGGTGGGTGGGAGAGCCGGGACCAGCTCTGCTTGAGCACCTAGCTGAGTAGACTTGTGCTGGGCGTAGGCAGGAGTGTGGGCGACAGGACCTATACCAGGTACCAGGTGAGGGTCCAGGTAGGGGCAGCGGATGGGGTCGGATTGCTGATGGGCAGACTCAGGGATGGTCAGTCAGGTGGGTAGATCCAGTCAGTGTCTGGATTATGAAATGCTACCAAGAAAATGGAAAGATGGGCAGTCTCCTCCCGTGTGATTTACAGCCTCTGGAAACCCACTGGAGGATCAGCGATATGTCGATTGCGACTCAATAGCACATAACAACAACAATAACACCAAGGAAAGAGGGATTCTGACGTTTTACATGCAGTCACCTCGTTCACCGTCAGTGTGCGCTTTTGACGGTGGAGGAAAGCAGGGCTCAGAGAGACTTGCCTTGGGTCACACTGGCAGACTCTTAGAGTCACACCTTTCACTCCAAATCTCTTGCTCTGTCCCCTACATCGAACTCCAGGGACTTAGAAGAGACCAACCAGTAAGGTCTCTGTGTTTAAAAATGGGCTGCTGACAGCAGAGAATAGCAGACAATGCGATGCAGTTCAGACTCACACAAGATGCAGAGGAGGCCAGAGCTAGGATACTTCTGCTGTCAGGCTCTTCTGGGCTGGAGCAAGACTCCCACAGGGACACATCCTTCCATCTGCCACACCCCCAGCGTGTTACCTCCTCCAGGGCTCCTTGAGATGGAGAAGAGATTGAAGTTGTTAGTGATCACAGCTTGCTTGGCTCCACAATCAACAGTTTTCACCCCAGCAGTCAGGAAATCAAAAGACGAATTGCCTTGGGAAAATCTGCTTGCTGTCAGGGACCTCTCCAGAGTACTGAAAGCAATGATGCCAGTCTAGAGACTAAGGTGTACCTCATTCAGGCCATGGTCTTCCTAATTACTTGCTATGCATCAGAGAGCTGGTCAATGACTAAGGATGACAGAAGAAGAATCGATGCCCTTAAGTTGTGGTGCTGGAAAACAGTCTTGAACATACCATGGATGACCAAGAAAACAAATAGGTTTGCCTTAGAGAGGGTGGAACCAAATTTCTCCTTGGAGGCTAGGGTTTTGAAGCTCCATTACATACTTTGGGCACATAGCCAGGAAAGACCTGTCCTTGGAGAAGGACACCATGCTCGGACGGGTGGAGGGACAGCACAGGAGAGGAAGACCCCGAATGAGATGGATTGATATAGTAACTGGGGCAATAGGAGTTAATGTGTAGGAATTAGTGAGACTGGCTCAGGACAGGGCAGCCTTCAGAGCTGCTATGCATAGGGTTGCTATATGTTGTAGGCGACTTGACGGCACATAACAACACCACCAACAGGGGCAAGAGAACTTGGGACTGAATCATCACAGGCACTAGGCTCTGGGTGACCCCAATTATCTCCCCCATGCTTTGTTTGTGGCTAGGTCTGGGGGTCCCCAGACATGATCTGTTTGGGGATCTGGGCCAGCCCTTATAAGAGTCTCCTACTCGTTCTATTACCACAAAGACTCTGCTGCCTGTTGCTTGAAAACCAACCAGAGAGGCAAGGGTGGAGCAGAATAGCCCACATTTTCTTCTATATGAGTATATATGAGAGGAAGCTCTGGTAGCCTGGTGGGCAAGGAGTTGTGCTGCCAACCCAAAGGCAGGCAGTTTGAATCCACCAGCTGCT